CCAGGCCCCGTATTACAGGTGGCTGTGGGGTTTGTTTACTGAGGCTATTTAGTGGGGCTTCATAATAACGTCTGCCCCATTTGGCTTCCGTTTCACGTTTGAGGTTAGGATTAGGGTACCGGTTAATGGTTTCCGATTTCCGGGTTAGAGTTATGCCTTTAGACTGAGGTTTTCGGGTTAGGGTTAGGGTTTAAGCGTACGCTTAGGGTTCAGTATTACGGTTAGATTCTTCAGTTACGGTTATGTCTAAGGACTGCGGTTACGTTTAACATTTCGGTTAGGGTTACGGTTGCCGTTAGGGTTAACGGTTAACGTTTAAGTTTGAGGTTAGGGTTAGGGTTAGGGTCGCCGTCCGTTTCCCCATTCCTGGCTACCAACTGCGATCTAGCCCGGATTTCTTCCATAGTCAGGGAGAGATTAGGGTAGTGTTTGGTTTAGCTTTGATCTAGAGCTATGCTTTAGTTAGGATTAGATTCTGGGTATCAGGTTTGGGATTGGGGAAAGGTTAGATGGTAGTGTTAAGGTCAGTCTATGCTATAATTTAACGCTTTCAAAATTGCGTTTTTGCGGATTGCTAGCGTCCACGACTGCAGACCTGGTTGGACAGTTTTTAAAGGACGACAACAGGTATCCCTAACAGCGCTTCCTCATTATGCTCGGAACGGTTCACGCTTCCACTTGACGCTTCCACTTTTGACGCCATTTCCTTTTGCCAAACCCACTGCGACGAGCCTTGTGGTCCCTAGGAACGAGCTTCACCGTATATGCGCTGGAACAAAACGGGGAACAGATCAGTTGACGGCCGGCTTTCATTGAGCAGCACAGGATCCGCCCTAGTCCATAATTACTGCCCTACGTGGTGGCGGCACGCTTCAGGCTGCGTCAGTCACTGCCCCTAAACCCACATCCAGCTGGCCGACTGGAATGACCAAATGGCGCATGAGAGAGGGAATAGAGAGAGAGTGTGAGGTCGTCCTCGAGGCAACTCAGCGCGTCTGACGTCCTTGAATCAATCACGACTTATTAAAAGTTGTGGCCTAGAAGGCTGCCAACTGACATGGTAACCCGGCCCCTCTCGGGACTGAGAGTTAGGCTGGAGTGGCTCCTTCACATGTGACACTTTCAGTGATATGAGATCCGAACCGTTCTAATGAGAGCCTGTTACATGCTGTGAGGGGCTAGATCGTGCGTGGTCCGCGCAGAGGAGCCGTTTAGTTTTGCCAGCCACTGCGTCTTCTCCCACCTCCAGTCTTCTTAACATTTTCTGGTCATCGGAACCAGGTGGATGAGGGTAATGGGGGTGAGATAGGTGCTGCGAAAGTCTGCATTACTATAAACTAATCCACACATAAATAACCGTTCTGCGTCCACTCCGTGGTGCACACGGCGAACGTCGTCATATAGAATATTTAGAAGAAAACTCCCGTAACTCCACATGTTTTAGTACATAGTCCACTTGGTGTTCAAATAAAAGGCAATACGTTCCGTATGCCGTCTACAGAATTAACATACCTGGAGACAGAAGTCTGCATGAATATTTATCCGACTATCTCAAAGTCGTCAAGATTACAAATTCTTTAAAAACCGAAACAACCCCTTCCTTAAATATGTACTTTGTAAAAATATAATTTTCCGCAGCACAAGTATTTAATTTAATTTATGCAGTCATCATAGATAGGCAAAAACTCGCAGCAGAGGAAGTTTTTTTTCGGCGTAATTTGCTCAGTACATTACTGTGTATGCGCCATTTTAAGGCTCGGTTCCATAGCGATCCCTCCAACAATCTTACTTACAGTAGATGACCTGACTCAGCTGCAGTGATAAGATTTCAGTTATAAACGATTGCCTAACCGGGGTTGCTGCATAAGATATTTCAAGATATTTCGTTCACGTCAGGATGGTGCCTTTTGATTGCGCGTCTTTCGGGTCACCTAGGAGAACCGCACTCTGTAAAAAGTGGCTAGTGGAGCAATTTGAACTTTTCCACCGACTCCTGAGTTCGAACATACTTTTTGGAGGAACGTACGACCCGTCTTACAGCGAAAGTGTACAGCGAGCAATTTAGAAACCTTAAACGAAATTGCAACTACAGGTAGGGTAGACGCATTCGGAAATCGGGAGGTTCTTTTCAAGTCGACCAAGAACCTCTTTTTAAGCAAAAAAATTCAATGGAAAAATGTACACTGCCTGTGTAGTCCTTTCTAATGAACACGCTCCTTGCAGATGACGGAAAAGGCGCCCAATTAAAAGCCAGATTCTTGAGTATATGAAACACGCTGCAATCCCTCTGCCCACTGAACAGCATTACAGATCAACCTAGGTGGACTCTCCTCATCGAAATCACATTTCAAAGTTTTCGTCAATGTTTCGCGTGCCAGGCCACTCACTGTAGGCAGACGAATAATTCCGATTAATAAGTGAACGACCTATGGCAAACTGCACTGCCAACACTTGTTCTTGAAGGCCATCTTGCTCTTACGGCCAATCCACCAGGATAGGCGGCGAGCGATGCAACAGCATCCAAGGATGCAGCCAAGTCCCCTCGCTACCAGGCCTGTTGAGAACTTGGTTGGTCTCACAGGCAGCCGAAACCCCCAACGGACAGTAAGAAACACATACAAGGCAAAGTTTAATTAACAAAGAGACAGTTAAATAAGGCAATAAGTGCTTTGGCCTGTCTGAATAATTCGTTTGGTTCGATTTTGAAAACCTCGGTGGCTTTGGTGGGATTCGAAACCATGAAGTCAAGGGAGAAGTTGGAGTACATCCGACCCTCTAACCACCAGAACTACGAGACCTCGACCGAGATTCGTGAGTTTAATCACATTTGACCCAAATGGAACTGAATTCACGACTCCTGGCCGCAGCCTCGTAGATCAGATTGTTAGAATGTTGACTGCACGTAAACATTGACGTTAATGTTGTGGGTTCGAACCCCATCGAGTTTGCCGAGTTTTTCACAATTAAGTCAAATGAATGTGGCCCCAATTCTGGTAAGGTCGCACAAACTTTCAAATCCGGGATATTTGAAAAGGACAGTTAACACGAAATTCAGTCCGGCGCGTGGTTCAAGTATGCTTGAAAACAGACAGGAGAGGAGGCTCATATTCCGTATACATGCGGGACTTGGTGGAAATGCGGCAGCAAAAGCCACGTCAGTCAACCCGTGCTGCCCCATTACGTTGAAATGGACTGTCTGCGTGTGAATTATAACCCCTCCGGTGTATCAGAGGCGTCGGGCGTTATCCTTCTACCCTGGGGACTGGCTAGAATGCTTAACTCTGATGAAACCAACCTAGACCACCACAGGGGTTGCCCTGACTGATATTAGGATAACGACTGAAATACCACCCATAGAAAGGAAGAAAAACAGTGTCAGTTTAACTTGTTTACTTCAAGTTAGTTCATTCTGATAGCTGAGGAGATTAAAATGTGGAAATTCGAAAATTGGGCTACTTACCAGGAAGCAGACGGGTACCGCTGGGGGACTCACTGATAGGTCGAACCACCGCAGCTGTGCCACGCAGCGGCGAAATATCAGTGAAACACAGGTCTGGGCTTTTAACTAGTACCTGTGCTCTCAGTACGGTTAATCATTCAAGATTTTTATACTGTTGGCCGTCTGTGGGCAGTATGGGGACTTTACGCGGTCATTCCACCGCAGCCGATGGATTTTGGCTCATATATTCATTTCAGTTTTCGGACTGAGCCTATAAAGCTCAGGAGATTAGAGGGCCGAATGGAGTCTCACTTTATCCAAACGGGAAGAGGTCCCGCATTTGAGAGTGGCCAAGCATCAATAAGGATATGTTGCCTTTTTCTCATTGAGCGCTGTTGGGAGGCGGTCGTTCGACGATGGAAAGACCGCCTGCCGGTATGACCCTGAATGCGGAAAAGATTTTGCCGTCACAGGCTACTTTCTTGCCTACCGTCTATCAAAGTTTATATGCTGAAAAACAACTTCGGTAAGGATCGGGTGAAGGCCCCCAAGCATCTGTGGCATACAGGGAATATCTACTATACTTATTTTAGCGGGTTTTCGTCCGATACGATTATTTCGGTTTGGTGTTTCATCTTACAAGGTTGGGTCGTCTGTTGTAGACGGTCTGGTGCATTATATGCAATGACCTGATCTCAGAGAGTTGAGAAGCGAGCGCTGTAGACACTTACTGTTTATTTTTTTATTGTGCTGATTAATTTCGGCTGTTCTATGACAATGCATTAAAACTTTTCCGACCGAAAAACGAATTTACCAATTATCTATACTTATTTTGTCATACCTCCATGCGTACATAGGCCCCGCTCGTAAAACTCCTATTACCACCTTTCTCTCTTTGGCTGGTCGTGCGTGTTTGGAGCCATTCACCCGATCGTTGCATGGATTTACTAAGTGAAGGAGGTGCAGAACTTCCAATTCGCAGCCAGTCGCATGCCAGATGGCTCCGGTGCAGTGCAACGGAAGCAGCAGGTCTTGCCTGGAATAAATTCCGTCCAGTCAGCCAGACTTCTGATCGGTAGAGAGACGCTCACCGATCATTTTTACGGGGCTCACTCGTCCCGTTGTGCTTTACGGGCTCTCTCTCTGGGGCCCAACCAGCAGCCGCATAGCGGCACATGATACAGGCAGAATGGTATTACCGACAAAGATAAGGGAGACTGAAATGGCCATTTCTGGCTTATTAGCCATTGCCAGCAGCCTATTCTGACTATACATGCACCGCTGTGCGGCTGCTGATTGGGCTCGAGAGAGGGCCCTAAGGCCCAACAGGACGAGTGAGTTCTGTAAAAACGATCGGTGAGTGTCCCTATACCATTGTATATTATTGACCGCAACCGACAGGACAGAGCCCGTGGCTCAGTGATTAGAGGCACTGGATTTCTAACCAACAGGTCGCGGGATCGAGCCTCAGGTGCTCCACACTTTGGGATTCTGTATGGTTGGCTGACGACGGCTGATAAGCCAGGAATGGCCATTCCAGTCTCCCTTGTCCTTGTCGGTAATGCTATTCAGACTTCTCGTCCTCAGATCGACTTGGTGGCCACTCTCACAGGCAGCAACAGTCAAGGGCTTTCTTCTCATTTTTCGGAGTCAACTTCACGCCAGTCGGATCACCCAGGCATTCTTCGAGGCTCCTCTCCGCCTAAACTACATGCCCTGCTTCAAGGTTACACTGCATGCTAAAGGTACAGTGCAAAATCCGACGGCTGTTTCCGGTTTAGCCGCATCGTCTGTCAGACCCGCCCTAGGTGAGCGTGGGTCTGAATTTTAGACCTGGGTGCAGCTTATCGTTGAGGTCGAGTCGGTGGGTGGACTCTTTGTGGGAGTTTTCCAATGCAGCCGAGGGTCAAATTCTCCAGTCAGTCGGGGCGTGGTTTTCACACTTCAATTCCGGTCTAGGGCCCCAGCAGCGTGGTTACACAAAGACAAGTGATCCGCAACCCAGGACTGCTGTCATTACAGTCAAAGAAGTGGGTGGGATGGCATTCACCAATCAGGCTACGGATATGTCCCTTATGGCGCATTCTGGGGCCCTGGCAGGCATGCACCAGGCGAGCAGGAAGAAATACTGACAAAGACAAGGGAAACTGGAATAGTCATTTCTGGCTTATTAGCCGTTGTCATCCGACTGTACTCAACCCCAGGGTTTGACAACCTTCTTTATCAGCACCATATCGCTCGAATTATTGACATTCGCTTTATTCTTTTTAAATTTTCTTGCTTTATCAAAAAAATAACATCCTCCCGCCTGTGTTTCTCATTCTCTTCTAGTTGGTGGCACAGTTCGACGACAGTTTTGTAGTAGGTAGATTTTTTCCACAGCTGACTCATCCCCTTCATCCTGCTCCAATGTCAGCGAAGTCGCTGCATTCACCGCTGTGCCATTTTCGCGATACCTCCTGTTGAACGTCGCCTTGTTGACAGTGTGTCATCTCGTCATTCGCCAGGTTATTTTGACCTGTCTACATATCGAACCCAGAAACAAAGACCTACAGTGTCATCTAAACAGCCATGCACATTTGTGCGTCGCTTCCTGTTCTGACTCAATGATTGCCGTTAGTGACTTTCTTGGTTAGAGAATTTTTCGCAGAGATCCAACTCCTCGCAGACACGAGATTAGGCATCCGTCCCGGCATTACATGCGGCCTTGCGCTAAATTCCACGGGAGTTGGGATTAGGGTATGAGAATAGTCACTCCCCTGGAATCTACCGTAGGGTCACCTGTAATTCGCGGAGGGTACTCATTCCCATGTCCAGCCAATCGTTCTCTCTCCCCCCCCCTTTCTGTCAAACCTTTATCTCTGTCGGATGCCACTTCCTTATCTATCCTTGCATGCTACTTACCAACCACTGTTCTTGGTTCACATCCGAGCAGTCTGATCTTAAGCCTGATTCCTTGATTACACCCAGCCAAGGTCACACGGGTTGGCAGTAGGAAGGTCATTAATCAAGTGGTAAACACTCTGCACTTTCGTGGAAAAATGATCGAAAAGAAATGGCAGCAATACTTTTACAGACAACGAGCGCTTTTCATTACGTGCTTTGGTATAACTGAGTCAACTTGACTAAACTGTAGCACGCCATGCACGGGGTTGAAGTTGTGGCAACGATCGGGTGAAGGGCCCCAAACACGCACGACCAGCCAAAGAGAGAAAGGTGATAATCGGAGTTTTACGAGACCGTCTACAACAGACGACCCAACCTTGTAAGATGAAACACCACAACGAAATAATAGTGTCGGACGAAAACTCGCTTAAATAAGTATAATAGATATTCCCTGTATGCCATAGATGCTTGGGGGCCTTCACTCGATCCTTACCGTAAATCCTAATGACTTCCGTCTCTCCCGTTTATTCCAAGCTCAACGGCCTGATATCTGGGGGGCCGCCCGTTCTTGCCTGCCAGAAACTTTCCACTGAAAATTATTTTGCCTTTGATTGAAAACGTTAACCTGAAAAAGGACGATAGGGTCTTTCGGCTGCGACAGAATTCCAAGGTATCCTTAAGACCGTTAGGGAACATAGGTAAAACCGGTTGTTGTGGAACCTACGGGAAAAAAGCTCGTCAGTCTGACTTAACTGATGAACGGAAATAACAAAAAAACGAGCTCAGAAATAAGAGTGCTTTCTTCTGTAGAGGGAAAAGAAAGTTGGAATGTACAGCATGGGAACTGGCTCCCGCCTCTTTCATCCAGACTCACGACAATACCATTTGACAAACAATACTGTGCAAACCTTGCAGTCATTATAATCGACTGATGTACTTAATGATAACAATTGCAACTGATAAGTGGATGGGATATCTGCTAATTTAAAAGAGATTTTGTCAATAAACTTCGAAGGACGAAGCTCGTGTCAGTAAAATGCCCTCAAATAAGCCGAAAGGTTTTCATTTCCATCAGTATAAAACCCACACAATCAAAGGTGGTTGCTCCTTCGGCACACCACCAGACTACGGTTGCCGGGGTGCAGCGGGTCTAAGAGCCGCAACATGGCTTTCGAGGTACAGCTCTGCACGTTTTTTGATTTGTCAGAAATAGACTTCGACATATCGTAGTTTCTTCGTATACGCCGATGTCTGGGAGCACTGAGGGCATCTGCGTGGATTGAAATAAAGTGAGAGCGGCTCGTGTAACGTCGCTCCCCCATTGACAGGCGGTTTTGCTTTAAATTCCGGGGCACTTACACCCATGTCCCAACCCAAACCCTGACCTCAATGCAAGACCAGCTGCAACGCGGGGGTACCTATTCCAGTGTCCAATTCTTCCTCCTGTCAAAAATCATCGGGCAGAAGGACCCCCCAAGGCACAACGGAACGGGCATGTCCTGTAACCTGATCGGTGGGCACCTTTCCCACGATGGATACTCACCATGAGTTGATGACAGGACTAGACCCCACGGATTGGAGATGGGCGCAGTGACTGACCTGGTCATATCACGGAAGGGTCCCGGCTACTAACCGGACCAGTCCTTACGCACAGCTTCACTGTGTGAGGAAACACTGGCTAATTCTAGCCTGATTTCGTCTCACAGTTGACGCGGCTGATGGAGTGTCGCCGCCGCTCTCCATGCAGTTTCCTGAGACAGCAGACAAAAGACGGATGACTAAGTATTTGGTGTGATTGTCAATCCATAAGGATGGGAAACCCCCCCCCCCTCGGCAGCCCAGCGCTTGTTCATAATACGATTTTAGCAAGGGCGAAATGTTGGGGGGAAGGTTCACGTTTGTGTAGCCAGAATGTCTTCTATTATTTACTGACCGTGATCACATAGATACCTAGGAACGACAATTAACTGTAGACATTAACACTGAGGATGAAATTGCGCCTGACAGAGGTATGTTTGCCCGGTCGCGTGCAGGAAGGTGAGCAAATCCATCCTTGAGACAGACAGCGCCATTATATGTTTTCATGCCTTGCCTGTCCGCCTCCCTTCAAACAAATGGACAGTTTGGCTCTCTCTGTGATGACAGAATTTCTCAATCAGTCATCTATGCAAAATTCCACTACTTAGATCGTTCAAATATTCTTGTGGAGGGAGGCTTGGTTGTTAGACCTTCACAGCCTGCATCGGAGGAACAAGCAGACGATTAGGTTCACATGGATGAAATCGGAGGGGGAAGACTATCACCCCTGTATTATGACCGCCTGAAATTTGGTCTCGAGGTATAACCTGCGCAGAAGATTGTTTTTCAAGTTTTTATTCTTACCCATGATCCATGGCGACTTTGGAATTAGGTATTTCATGAGGCTCTGGATGAATCCGTTCAGATGTTCGTTCAAACCTAGTCAGTCCTTGTGAGACCATCTTAAACGTTCGGATGGTCACTGTTTTCACTGGTAACGGTGTAAGACGCATCTTCATTCTCCGTTCCATAATAGTAATTGAACTCGAATCGAGCTCGAGGATGGCCAGGATTTCGAGCTTGATTCGCATTTCAGGGGTCAAATCTCATGTATTCTCTGGAATGGACCCCCAGCCCCATACCTGCCAGTTTTCTCTGTCTAACAAACCCAGTGCATTACGACCCCACCGTTGCCCAAAATAGGTAATCCCTAAACAGAAAATTAGGGAGCCTCAGTTGCGCAACATAAGATTATTTACTCAAACGCAGTCATAAACGATTGCGTAAATGGAGGTGTGGCCAATAATGGGGCATAAAAATGCTGAGATACATAACGACTTCCAAAACAGCATATGAGGTAAGAGGTCTATAGTGACGCGGCAGGATGTCAAAAGAAAAGTTATTAACTACGTAAAAGTGACGGTTGGTGGTAAGGTACAAAGCAGGCTAGGTTTATAGCAGCTCTGCCGTCGTTACTGACATTTTCCGCTGTGTGCCCCACAGAAAGCTGGGCACAGGGAAGCTGAAGTGCGCATGAAGTAGCTTACGGTGAATGTAGGCGTACACTGCTTTTTTACAGCACTCCCTCTTACCTCACCCACTTGGGCCTTGTGTGAAGACAAAGTCTAGAAGAGGGGGGAACGGGGCCGGAAGAGTTGAACAGTTCATCTACACGTGCCAAACGCGAAAGACCGGGTTTCCACACAAACAAGATAAGGGGAGGCTCGGATTCCAAGTGAGTAGGAGTGTCATGAGGGCCACACTAGAAATGTGCCATTGAGTTTGACTCAACCCACTAGTCGACCATTCTACACAGGCGCACAGGCCGACTGCAAGGTTTGAGTTCTATCGTCGATTGGCTCTCTTCCAACCCATGAAGTTTAGCGCGTGGGGATCGATTCAAGCGCGCCAGAGGCGGCATATATCTTGCTTCCCTCCTCCTTTTACCAGTCGGTCTTCCCAGCCGACCATCCAACTAAGGCTGAGATTGGCCGAGCTAGCTGACAGAACTAAAACAACCCAGGCTTCGACAAACGGGGGTGAGCTGATTGGATCTGATATGCGTTAGAATGCCATGGAGGCCACGTGGAGGAGGAGCTGAAGAACAGGCTCCCCACTTGCATGGGAGGTGTCTGTTTGGTGTCTGTGGTAAGGATGTGAGACGGGTTCCTGTGTGGGACCATGGGACGGTTGAGTGTGCGTAGTCAGTGCGGACAGTGTGGGCAGAGACGGCAAGTGTGTGTCGGGGCCTCTTGCATTGATTCGCCACTATCAGTGCGACGAATTACAGGTTACCGGACAGGGATTGTGGAGGTCGCCATTGTGGACACCAAGATGGTTGGTGTAAGGATGGCGATAGAATCTTTTGTCGAGGCAGCAGGTGGAGTTGTCGGATTGACTTTACATTTAGTCCGGAAATATCCGACGAGGCTGATCCAGTTGCGAAATGT